GTAGTGTACAGCAAAAAGATGTCTTTATAACATGTAACAGTGTCCAGAAAAATTGATTGTACAGTAGAAAAAAAACCCTTTGCGAATGCATTATCTCACGAAGAAAGTTGCTAAACAAAGTATTGTTCAAAATTTTACAAGCTTCCTGTCTTAGATTCGATGACAAGACAACAAGGGAGGAAAGGAAAAATACAGATAAATTTGCTGCAATTCGTGAAATATGGTGGGACTTCCAAAACAATTTGTACAAATGTTATTCAGTGGGATTTTTTGTGACAATTGATGAACAGTTGGTTGGATTTCGCGGAAAATGTCCTTTTCGTCAATTTAACCCCGAAAAACCTGATAAATATGGAGTAAAGCTTTGGTTATGCGTTGATGCCGATTCTTACTACGTATTTGATGCAGTCCCTTATACTGGACGACAACCTGGTCAAGATAGACAAAAGAATATAGGTGGGAACATAGTTTTACAACTGATGGAACCTCTGTTTGGTTCTGGTAAGAACGTTACCATGGACAATTTCTTTTGAAGAATTAGAAATAAGTTTAGCGGCTTGTCTTCTTGATGTTCGTTCACAAACTTCAAAGTTCTTGCACAAAGATGTTCAAAATGCATTAGCTGTTATGGGTTATCCTAGGGTGCAGAAAACATCACAAGAATTAAATGAAACCTCCACGAACTTAAAAAGAAAACGATGTTCGCTTTGTGACCGTACCAAAGACAAAAAGACTCTGAACAAGTGTTACAAATGTTCCGAACCCGTTTGTAATGAGCATTGTGTGAAACGACCCTTTTGTATCACTTGTTCGAAATAAATACATAACACTCTTCTCAATCATTTTATCCTCTAACCGAATAGAAAATAGTGTAACTTGGACAAACATATCGGTTTCATGACGAAAAAATCACATAATAAAAATATATCATCATGTCATGCCTAAAATAGGCTTGGTAGTACTAGAGTTAAACTGAAGCTAACAGTTGTGGCTAGAGCCAAATCGAGGCCGACTTTTAACATTCAGTCCAGATTTGTGGTTAGAGAAGCATCTTTGTGCAAGTTAATGAGACTTTTTCGAATTTTTGACTTTTAACACCTACTATTTGTCAGAAAGCAAAATACCAAAAATCCGGCTCTGTTAGCCTGTAGCCACATGTGTTTGGGGGGCGGGCGGATGCCTTAAAGCAGTGTGTTATAGAAGAAACGTTGAGCTCATTACGTTTGGTACAATATTGAATCCAAACTAACTTGAAATTCGGATTCAGCATGTCATTTTATGGGTAATTTAGTATTTTCCCTGTTCCTGACCCCCTTACCAGATGATAGGATTTTGACGGAATTTCTAGAAAACCACCACAAGAAAAACCACCTGGCCAAAACCAATACCTTGCGCCTTTTGTAGCACTAGTCGAGTAGTGTGTGGGATAACAAGATCTCGAAGAACTGACGTGTAGTTTTCGAGGGAAGAGGCCGGGAGGGGTCAAAGTAGGTCTCACGGTTACGCTTACCATGAAGAAGTAAAAAGTGTCAGAGACTTCATTGTTGCGTCATACGAACAAACTTGGAAGCCGCTTTCATTCGAATATAAATAAAGTTATGTTTTTTTATATTTTGAGCTCGTCCAATACGCTATAAAACGAATGATATCTGCTAATGCAGATAAGGTCCTCCAGTCAAAAATTCTTTCCGAATGTCAGAGGAGAAAATCTTATTTGCTGATGGAAATATGCAACTTTGTATGCTCTTTCCAGCTAGTAGTATGAGAACGCTTGATAGTATTAGACAAGGTCGGATTTTGCTGTTCTAGCACCTCTAAAAACGCTTCAATTCAAAACTTGTGGCCGAGGAAAAACCGTGTTCGGAATAATTTTTCCACGGGGCGACAGGGGGTCCTTACATACCTTTAGTAGGATTATCGATTGCATATAGTCAAACCTTTCCGGCTTTAAGCCGTGTATAAAGTGGGCGGACCTGTATGGAAGTACCCTACATCGATTGAATAAAAATTCACGCCCCGCTAGAAATATTTAACTTTATGTTTAATTTTGATGGAATTATTAGCAATCATTCATAATTACCTGAATTATTTACCGAGTGCTTAGACAGATACTTGATAAGTGACTCACAAGAGTTGAACTTTTCAAGTGATACAAGTGCTTAAAAGGAAGCTTGCAGCAACATGTGGTCGAGTATGCAAACTTGAAAAGTACTTGATAATGTGAGTAGTCTTGAAAATACATGGTAAATACTTTATGTCAAGTACATTCGCTCTAACAAACTTTCAAAAAAGAAAATATCAGCTCTTCTTTTCAGAACCAGAAATACAAAAAAAATGACCATACTACCTAATTCTAATATTAAACGGTATTGTTGCTTACAGTCTGTAACTAACGTAAGATGTTTGTTTAATTGTTTACGCTTACGTACGAAAAGCTTAACAATAATCATTTTGAATTAAAAAATTACTTTATATCAAATGTTAAAAGGTACTTATGACAACAATCACTGTCATGTTCTAAACGGATTAACTTTTCTTCTTCTTGTTCAGCCACAACACTAAACTGTGATCTTTGTGAATGGTTACTATTGAGAATCCGACAAATCTCATCTAAATTTCTACATAATATTTTAAGGTATGATGACGTTCTATAGGGTGTATAAATCATTGCATGTAGATGAAAGGCTTTAGTGAAATGATACATTGATTTCAAATAATTTTTTTTATATTTATGTAAACTTCCTAGTGTCGTATGGACTCTTATAATATTGTTATCAGCTGCAGGCAATGTTGCCTGAAATATATCAAGAACTTTATCCATGTTTGATAGAGCTAAATCATAATTTTCAATAGTTGTATAAACTTGTGCAATAGCGTCATAGGTAGATGCAAGGGCGTTTGGTAAACGGTTATGCTCTAATCCTATTTCAATACTTTTATTTAAACACTCTAATGCTAATTTATAATTTTCAACCAATCGATGAATCACGCCAAGATTATGATAAACAGAAGAAAAATAATCATAATTTATTGGTTTAATTACTAACAGTATCGATAAAGCTTTATTCATATTTTCTAATGACAATGAAATATATTCATCATAAATTTGTTTGTCTGGATTATATACAAAACTATATAATAGTCCAAGAAGATGATAACTTTTAAAAATTAGTATCTGTTCATCCGTTAAATATTTAAGACGTACTTCTAGTGCTTTTTCAGCATAGAATACTGCTGATTTTGCATCACTCTGTTTCAGATAAACATATCGTACAATATTTTCATATGTTCTAGCCATTGTCGCATAATTAGGTGATATTGAATATTTGTGACATATTGATAAAATTTTTTCGTAACTTTTTAATGCCATAATATATTCACCTTTTTGATAATAGGTAGCAGCAATTTTTTCATAAAGGTCTCTAATACTGGCATGGTTGAATAAACGGGATTTTTTATATGTATCAAGTGCTAATTGAAAATATTTTAATGCTTGATCGTATTCTCTTTGATGTAAACTCATTTTACCCATACTTAAATACGTTGCAGCCAAATAAGAATGACCTGATGGTAATAACTTCAGCTGAATATTAAGTGCTTCTTGCAAATACATATCTGCTTTATTATACATATTTTTATCCAAATATATCAAACCAAGATTATGGTATAACTTAGTTTTGAAAATAGTATCATGATTTGTATCAATGTACTGTAATGACTTTAGATAGTATTCAAATGCTTTGTCAACATTGACTTCTTTTTTCGTATCTCCTTTTCCTTGATAAGCACCGCCTATATCATAATATATTCGAGCTAATGCTGAATTGTCCTTTGCAAGTTCAAGTGCTTTATAATGTGTTTCAATTGCAAGATCATAGTCATATACGGCTTTATATGAACAACCTAATGAACTATACCAAACGATAAGATCATCTGTATGATGATCAAAACTTGATTGAAGAAAGTACTCAATCATATTCTGACAATATTGAATACATGCATTGTGTTCACCCATTCTATATAAGGATTCAACCATTTAAAGCGTCCAGTTTGAAGGGCTTCCTCTAAACATAAAAATAAAACTTTTGTGTTTTACATGTGATAAAATTTTCAGCAGATATCACGTTGAGTTACTCTCTGAAAAAATTTATAGGCTTCTACGTCTTCATGTTCCCAAATGGAGCAAAATGGGCTCCTGAACTATATATCATAAAATTTGTTTACAGTTTCAGTGGAAAAATATGAGAATTAAAATCAAAAACACATATCCTCATAGGCTAGTGAGGACAGAAACTCAATTTCACTTTAGTTATTTTCTATTACATTTTAAACTTCAAAAACATTAAAAACCCAAAAAATGGTTTCCAGAAAATATTATTTTTAAAAAATCTAAAGTCGAATTAAAAACTCTATTTCCATTGGACCATATAGATTTGTTTAAAACATACCAAAAAAAATTACTACTAATAACATCGAGTCGATTGCACAGTTTCAATCGTTGTACAGAATATAGACACAGAACAGTGGATTTAGTTTTGCAGTTTACTATAAAGCTAAGTTCGAGTGCTCGAATCTCTATTCGTATAAAATTGATTTTGTGTTTTTCGATAGTTTTATAACAGAAATCAAGATTAAAATCACCTTTTTGCAGGTTGAAACGGTCATTTCAACCTGCAAAAAGGTGATTTTAATCTTGATTTCTGTTATAAAATTTTTCACCTTAAACAAAGAATCAATCGATAGTTTTAGTTTAGAATACCATAATGGAATATTTTTCCGCTTGTACAGAATAAAGCTTATATAGATTTATTATCTCTATTAAGATCTGTCCCTGTTAGAAGCTTTTGACTATATCCAATGTTTCGAGATCGACTTCTCTTTCGAGAATTTTGAAGTACGAGGAACCGTCGCACGTGATCCACCCCGTTTTCAACCATATTTTGCTGATATGTAGAGTCTATTGCTCTGAGAAAAACCTATAAGGATTTGGGCCCATGTTGCTACCTTCAAGAGTTATTGAATTTTTTTGTTTCGACAACGAGGGCAACCCCAAATTAAACTTTTTATAACTCAGTCAAAACAGCGAGTTAAGAGCTCAAAATTTTTCTCTCATCACAGCCTAGTCATCTACTAATAATCCACGACGATTCAGACCTTTAGCTTTTATACTGAATGAATAATCGAATTTTTACGTTTCTGCCTAGGGGAAAGCCTGCGATGTAGGCCTGCGGGTTTTGCAAACTTGTGATACGAGCTTTAATTGAAACCAGTTTCGCAGATTCTTTCAATAACTGATGACAGAGCGTCGGTGCAAGATTTTCATAAAGTTCGTAAAGGCATTTTTCTCTGATTTCTCGTGTCGTCTAAAAATATCAAGCAAAAAAAAGCCTTAGGTCAAAAATTAA